GTTATATAATGATTATACAAGGTATATATATATATATATGGTAACGGAAGGGTCCCCATTAGGGGTCCCTCCTAAAGACCCTGGATACTTGTGTCTTGTGCGAGCCGCTTTGATGTAACTTTGTAGCACATGCTTGTATCCCAAACCTGAGATTTGGCGCTCCGCGAGTGGGCAGCGCTCGCGTGGCTGCCGCATACGATGAGTTTGCAGAATTCCTAGCTTTCATGGAGGTGTCCGCATTTTGTCAAAGCATGATCCTTCACCTGCTTGCGGAGCATTGCCGCGCAGCTTAGGTCCCAAGGGCCTGGCGCATCTTCAGCACATCTGACGTTGTTCCGGCTGTTCCGCCTACGAGTCTCTGGGGTGCCCCTCGCTTCGCTTGACAATTCTTTGCATACTCTCTGGATTATGCAGGTTTCCGCCATGCCGGGATTGGCGTTCAGCTGGACCCACAGAAGACTGAGCTGATTGCCTTGCACTCAAGGAGAAGCTCGCATGCTCCAATATCATGTGTGTGGGTCACAGCAGAGTCTAGAACGGTGCCAGCTCATGCTGGCACCAGATTGATAGTGGATTGCTGTAGGCTTCCTGGAGGATTCCCTGAATACAAATGTCCAAGTCCCACGCACGGAAGTCTCCATAAATATGGGGCCCAAAATCGAACCCATATATTATAATCCCTAAAAAATGGGTTTTTGATTTTGCAGAAATCCACCCTAAACCCTAAAACTTAGACCCTAAACTCTAAACCCTAAACCCTTAACCCAAACCCTTAACCCTCAACCTTTAACCCTAAACCATGTATTGTCATCAGGTCCGGGGCCGCACTGACGGGCTTACGGAAGCTGCCAAGGAAGAGGCCTGGAAACCCAACTTTTGAAATATTCCTTTAAAGGAGGGTTATAGGAGATATATAGGGAACATATGGGTTTAGGGTTTAGGGTTTAGGATATGCGGGGGATGTATGATCATGTGTAGGGTTTAGGGTTTCCAAAAATAAGGGACTGTATTTCCTTGGGTAAGGATCCTATGAGAGGGAGTTATGGGGGATACGTGGGAGTTATTTTTGGGGATAAAGGGTTTAGGGTTTCCCAAGATTAGGAGGTACCATGTTTGCATAATGGGGATCATAGTATATTGGGTACATGTTAGGTTCCCGTATTTCTGGAAGCTACCATTTCCTGCCCTACGGATCCTATTGAAAGTCAAGATGTTGCACGCCGATACCGAGGCTCCATTTCGTTGGCTTTGGAGGTTCATGGCGGTTATAAGTAGGGTATGAGCCCAATGGCTCAAAGCCCACCCGAGTATGCTTCAAAAGTGTCGGTAGTCACCGGGATGGGGCCTCTCCGGGTCGGCATCCTCCTGACTGTCCTCGTTTTCGGCCGCCGCAATCCTCATTGACTCATAACTGTCATCACTTTTAGCGCCTCATGCTTTCGTCGCATCTCAAAAGTACAAGCAGACACAGGGATCAGGGTGGTCCTGATTGCGATCCTCGCAACTGTCGTCGCTATTAGCAGCACCTCATAGTACAGTTTTCAAGATATTCACATTTGCAGGGCTCGGGGTGGTTCTCATCTTTTGTATAAACCCTCTACAGACATTGTAAGATTCTAAACCTTTTCTATCAACCCTTCCTAAACCAAAGGTAAATCTCAAGACCCAGACCGCAGAGGGGCCACAGGACCGCCGCGGGGGTGGGGTAACAGGTTATGAAACCCTTTGCAAACATTCTACACGCTCTGTAAATGTTCGTTTAAACCATAAGACCCAGAGCACTGGCCACAGGACGCAAGGTGGGGTGCAAGTAATAGTTGTTTTTCACTAGGTAGCCACCACACCATGGGGGAAGATGTTCCTAACCCCAAACCTCCAACCACACCGTTAGGAAAATGCGAATTCCCTCCTCCAATGAATGGGTGGAAACATTGGTGGGCGGCCGGCCGCGCTCGGATCATATGTCCCCATGTAACTCCTATGGAACACCACATCCCAATTAAAGCTCAGTCAGGACATGGACTATGATGGCTAGGTCCGCAACCCTGAACCCCATAATCCCTGATCCCTACATTTCTTTATGGAAAAGAGGCGCCATGAAGAAAGGAATCCCTAAACCTAGAAACCTAAGCCCTAACTCCTAAATCCTGATCCCTAAAACCTGGACTGCCTTTGGTGGGCTTTTCGCTGGTCATGCAGCCGGTGACAAGAGGCGACGCAAAATGAACGAATCCCTAAATCCTAAACTTAAATCCTTAATCCCTGAACCCTAATTCCTAAACCCGGAACCC